TGCTGCTGCCTGAGTCCCTAGTATCTGTTCTTTGAGATGTCCAACATATGGTTCAACTTTTATAATCAGAGAAGCTATTTCCATTACTCCTACTAAATAAAATGAGGGAGGAATACAGAACAGAAAGTGAGGGATTTAAGGGAGGGATGGGGAAGAAACAGCCTGAGTTGCTTAGGTGAGTTCTAATGAAGACTCTCCTGGAATTATTCCTGGCTGGAGAAAGCAGATGGTGTGGCTGCTGTTAACAGGGATCCTAAGGAGGGTCTAACAAGCCTGCCTGTGAGTAGAAGATGGTTGTCAGTTGGGGAGGGGCCCTACCCAGCTGTGTGAAGGGTTTGCTAAAATGGAATTAGGGCTTATTGAGAAGTAAAGAGCAACATCCAGCTGCCTGAGAATTACATTGACAGGATGCAAAGGCAAGAGAATATTGTGTAAACCTTATTTACAGATCAATAGATAATCTTTCATACACAAAAGGTCAGCTCCAGGAAGGCAGAGCAGTAAAGAAAGAAATATAGCCTGCAAATACAATATTGACTTAAAAAATGCACCCAAATGAATCCTTTGATGTATATTCTTCTAGTCAAAGTACATTTCTTTATTCATGAGTTTTTTCTAACCACTTTAGATTCCTCAGTGAGGTATGAAGGCAGTGATGAAGAATGTTGATTTCTAGTTGTCTTGAATTCTGTGCCATCAAATGATGAGCATGAAATGGAATCAATGCTGAAAATTTCAGAACAACATTTGTGTGTGTGTATGTGTGAGTGTGTGTGGCAATTAGGATGCTCAAGTCAAATGGAAACTTACCCCTAACCTCTTGTAATTTCCTGCTTTGGTGGCTGAGATAATAAACATTTATCCTGGCTTCAGGAAAATAAACAACTATTCAATCCTCCTGGTTCCCTCTGGATTCCTTCATCCATTTTGTGTTTCTCCTTTGCCTTGAAGCAAGTAGTTCATCATCCCAAAGAGTATCTGAAATCGTTGCCATCCACCTCTACCTGGCTGCTGGATTGTAAGGCCATTTATGACTGCTGCTCAGACACAAATAAGCATGGAAGGAAAAGGAAGCTTTACTAGGCTTTTTTTCCATTATAGACTCTTTCAGATTAGAGGTTCAACTAATTTAGATCCCTTATCAGTATGGAAACTTTTTCAAAGGGCCACAGTCTGAGCCCTGAATAGAAGTATTGCTGGTAGAAGTGCCTCTGGAGTGCAGAGTTGATATAGTTCCCAGGGTCACCATATGCCACATCTGAAGGAAGAAAAGCCCACTCTTGAAAAGCCCACTCTTGGCAATAAGTCAAAAGACTTAAGATGGACAACTCTTCCTCTTAACTTCCTGGTAGAGATCAGCAAGGCAGTGGATGTGAAAGAATTTTACACACTGTAGAATTATATAAATATTTTTTTCAGAGTAATAAAGGAGGATACTTTGACAATGACACAGTTCCTCCAAACTGCATACAAATTCTTTTCTCAAATGCGCTGAGAACAGTAACCTCCTCTTATGAAAGGATGTGGCTGGAATGGGTCACCTACAGCTTTGTCTAGACTGGTGGGGGAGCCAGGCGGGACTAGGAACTGACTATTCAACCCTTCAGAGTGAGCAAAGGACACAAAGCAGAGGCTGGATTGATGACTGATGGCATAGATTTTAGCTTCTTCCAGCGTCAAAGTCATAGCCTGGCCCCTCTATTTGGTCAAAGTTTCCATTCCTCCCCCCTAGGGCTATGCCTTCTATGCCCACATCTTCCCAGTTCCTCCCCAGATCTAATCCCCTAGAGGGAAGGCTGAGGGTCCTCATTAATAAGAGTGAATGGTGTTGACCACAAAGTGTGGCCCAATGATGGGTCTAATTCTGGATCTCTTGATTTAAAACTTGGCAATGATTCCTCATACCTTATTCACCTACTCCCAGCCCACCGTTCTGACTACTATTCATGCTGTTATTATCAAGGGCTATGTGAAGGGATGGTTTTCTTCTTGGCTCTATTCTCTGTAGGAGTACTTTTCACTTCACGTATGAGTGGCCGTCATCCTGCATGCCCTAACGTGATTTTATTCTGTTATTGAAGATTCTGTGGCCCCCATATTCCACTCAGACTCTTTTTAAGTGTAAAGGGAGAGAAAGAAGGGAAGATGACAGTTGGGAAAGAAAGCAAAAAGGATTGAAAGAAGCCAACTGGGTAGTAGGCACTAATAATTTTCTTTGTATAATTATTATTTCTTCTTTTCTTTCTTTCTTTCTTTCTTTCTTTCTTTCTTTCTTTCTTTCTCTTTCTTTCTCTCCTTCCTTTCATGGAGCAGTACAGAAAAAAAAATTATCTATGATGGCAGAAGGTACTGGATTCCAGGTGGGATACTGATATTTATTAGGTAGATAGCAAAGTTTTCTAAGCCTCCGTTTCCTTATCTGTAAATAGGGTAAGATTATGTCTGTAAAAAACATTTTGAAAATTGTTTTTCAGTATACAAACTATAAATAACTATACAAACAAGAATGCCTGGGTGGCTCAGTCAGTTAAGTGTCTGACTCTTGATTTTGGCTCAAGTTGTGATCTCAGGGTTGTGAGATCAAGCCCTGCACTGGGCTCCATACTGGGCATAGAGCTTGCCTAAGATTTTCTCCCCCCCTCTGCCCCTCCCCCTTCCTGCTTCTGTTCTTTCTTTCTTTCTTTCTTTCTTTCTTTCTTTCTTTCTTTCAGATGAAGTTATAGGTTTTTTTTTAAGTTCTAAGACTGATGCCTTTTTTGTTATGCCATATTTCTTCCACTGTTATGTGTCTAATCCAGGTTTGCCTCTGCAGACAGTATAGCAAAGTCCATTTGGGGAGCCAAGCCTCCCAAGTCTGAAACTAGAAGAGGTCATAACCCTGACTTCTAAGCATGACTGCCTACACTTGTGGGGCATAGTGCAAAATGAAATGCAGGACTCTTTGTTAAAAACATGTTTAAGCATTTCAAGACAGTAACAGCAGGGAATTAAACGCAGTGGGGGGGCCCTCTGGGTATGGGGTGCTTTTGAGCATCAAGCCCTATGTGACTGCAAGGGCAGTGAAACTAGCCCTGCCTCTGACAGTAACTCAGGAATTGACAACCTTGATTATTTCTCAGATCCTTTCCAGGGCTCCTGTCAGGGAGAGGAAGTTCCATGTCATAGACTCTGTTCTGTTATATCTTTTATTCCCTTAGTCACTCAGAACTGAGTGACTGTATTGTATACAATGACCAAGTGTTGCTCATTGTACCTACTAACTCCAGTTCTTATGGATAAAAATTGAGGATTAGTCAAAGTATCACTAGCAGCTACTACTAATATGAGCATTCACCATGTGACAGGCATAGTGTAAAACTTTTTACATACTTTAAAGTGGTTATAAAGATGTCCTCTATTCTCTATCCTTCCTTGCATTGACATACCTTATTTTGTGACTTTGCAGCTTTTTCCATAAAAAAAATAAAGTCTATTTCTTTACCTCTTGAATCAAGGCTGGCCCCATGAGTTCCTTTGGCTAATAAAATGCTCCAGAAGAGACAGTGTACTAGTTCAGGGTGTAGATCTCAAGAGGCTTAAAAGTTTTAGCTCTCTGTTGGGACCCCAAGACTGCCATTAGAACAAGTCTTTGTTAGCCTACTGAAATGAGCATCACTTTGTGGAGACCTGTCATCTCAACTGAGACCATCTGCAGCAGCCAGCCACCAGTTGATCTGCCACCAAACTGTAGTTACTTAAGTGAGCTTAGCTAAGGCCTGGCAAAGAGTCCAGGCCGCAGATCCATTCCACAGATCAACTCAGACAGGTGAGAGGCAATAAATAGCTGTTGCTTTAAACCTTTTTTTTTTTTTTGGCAGGGGTGGGGTTGATACATTATTATGTTATAGGTAACAGATATACATCTATCATTACTATTATTTCCATTCTTGTGACAGGGAAATAAACTTTGAGAGATTAAGTTCTAGCCTATGAAAAGTAGCTAGTGAAGGGGCTTAGTGTGACTTCTAGTCCAACTTCCTTTTTTTAAGGATTTATTTATTTATTTATTCATGAGACACACACACACACACACACACACACACACACACACACACACAGAAGGCGGGGGGGGGAGGGGAGGGAGAAGCAGGCTCCATGCAGGGAGCCCGATGTGGGACTCGATCCCAGGTCTCCAGGATCACGCTCTGGGCTGAAGGCGGTGCTAAACCGCTGAGCCACTGGGCTGCCCTACTTCTAGCCCAACTTCTTATGTAGCATTTTATGGGGTCCTATCCTAGTACTCTGGGCTCTGTCAGGCACTCAGCTATTTTGAAAGCCATTTGAATGGAAGAAGCAGGGTTTTTGCTGATGGGGCAGGCCCAAAGGATGGAGCTCAAACACTAGGAATCTCTCTGCTGATACAATACCATGTCTATTATTAACTAAAACTCACAAAATAAATCACTGTAATGTATCAAAGAAAAAATGCATATGTGCAGAACAAAAGAGATGATGTCTTTGAGGTCGAGGTCACAGTTAAATGCTAGCACAAATTCTGGCTGCATCTTATTAACACTAAATTATGACTGAGTTCTGCAAGAGGTCCATGTGACAATTCCATTAATGCAAATGGCATGGCTTATGATGTCTGTTTTTGTAAATGAAAATAAAAATGCAATTATATTAGTGGAACTCACTTATTAAACTAAAATAAAATCCACCGGGGATTCCCGGGTGGCTTAGCGGTTTAGCACCTGCCTTTGGCCCAGGGCATGATCCTGGAGTCCTGGAATCAAGTTCCACATTGGGCTCCCTGCATGGAGCCTGCTTTTCCCTCTGCCTCTCTCTATCTCTCATGAATAAATAAATAAAATATTTTTAAAAAATCCGCCAGCAGGTGTTAACCCACATCTTTTATAAAAAACTGTTGCTCCCCGGAGTAGCAAGTGGACATTTTACTAAAACAGGAATACACAATTTGTTTATAGAGGGGGCACCAGAATATCTATAAAAGTTCTTACAAATATCGTAGGTTGGGAAGGCTCTGGAAGGCATCAGGGTCGATGTATAGCAGGTTGTTGGCCTTTTCAATTCTACTGCAAAACAGAAGAACATGCACATGAACTAACATTAAGAAATGCTGTAGTATTTTTCACATTATACAAAGAATATATCGGTCATTCACCTACTTATCCATCTATCCATCCATCATTTTAACAAAAAGTTGAGACTGCATGCAGTGCTTTTACTACACCAAACTGTACACACTAAGTATTAACCCATTTTTCTCCCATAACTAATGTCCTCTTGCAACCTGTTAATCATAGCCAAACAAAGCACTGGTTGACTGGGTCCTTTTCACTCAGTACACTGCATCTTGAAACCAGTAAGTGTCTGAGGAGGCTAAGAGGGCAGGGATGAGACTTAGGGGAAAAAAATGTAAAGAGGCAAAGGAAAACAAAGGTCACGTGAAAAGTAGTGGACATCTCTGATTTTAACCAGCACAGTAGCTGGGAATGTGCTGGTGATTTCCTTCCAGCTATAGACAGGTTGCTCTCACAGTTCCTGAAATGTGGTGACTTCTGCCCTTGTTGGCTTTTTCTGTGTCTTGATCAATAGTCTGGAGGTGAGCATGTTCACATTTGGATTCCAACAGAGAGAGGCTGCCCTTTCCTCATCTTGCTGGATCAATGTATATTTGCAGAGATGCTCTGTGTTAATTACTTCCTCCCTGTTTCATTAGCTTTTATGTTGCAGTAACCTGTAGCTACCCAGATCCAAGTGCCAGGTAATTAATTATTTTAAGTACAGTCAGTGCTACATGGGGGTGAGCACCTCTCTGTGTGGGGAAGAGATGAAAGAGCCATTCCATTAGTTCCACTGCACAGTGAACCACAGAGAAGGATGCTTGCTTGATTCTGTCCAGAGGGCTGGCTGTCCTTTGGTTCATTTCTTTGACATTCCCTGTGGGTTCTGAGACCCTGGTCAAAACTCTTTTCCCAACTAAGATAAGGAGAGACCAAGCAGAAGAAAGAAAGGAAGGAACAGGAAGGCAATGGGGGAGAGCCAGGGAAAGCATCGTTTACAGAGGCTTAATGGTATTGAGCAATAATGCAGGTGGGAGGCAGAATGGGAGAAGGAAGGAAAAGGGAAGGGTAGTCTGCTAGTATGGACAGACCAAGTGCCATTTCTAAACAAATATATGGATTATGTGAATGTGTATATGTATATATATGCTTGGCAAATGCTAAGATATTTAAAAAAATAATGTTAGGATTTATTTTCAAGTCCTTATCCTGCTGTGGGTTTGGCTGGGTAACTTTAGATTAGTCTTGCAGCTTCTCTGTGTCTTTCATCCTCATCTGTAACATTAAGAAAGTGGTTTGGTGGCTTTCCTAACTATGTTCTGTGGGAATTTTGTGAGATATTAATATATGCCCCAGAAGAAGAAACCTTTTCAATGATAGTGGTTGAGAAATCCTTAATAAAATATCCTCCTTGGAGATTCTAAGTATGTATTTGCATGTTATAGATTCTAAGTTTTCCTATAGTAAGTGAATCTAATTTTATTTGCCCAGTGTTTCCTAATCTTATTTGACCCTAGAGTTGTTTACCTTTTTTAAAAATAAAACAATAATTTCCTGAGTGTTTAATGATAAACAAAATATACTTTGGAAAAATTGGGACCAGATAGTCCCCAGTCTCTTCTGCCTTGACATTTTATGATTCTATGAATTAATTTATTGTAATTATAGGCTGGTGTGAAACAGAAATGTACCTGTATGAATACTGACAGATGTGTAAAATGTGAATGCCAAAAAGAGAAAGCAAATTGGGTTGTAATAAGGAACCAAGGATCGTTATGACATACTGACTCTATGCCAGTTGGTGTGTTAGGTCTAATTTATATATACCTCCTTTATTCATCACAGTGATCCTATTATTATTATTCTCATTTTACAGATAAGAAAACTAAGTCTTGGAATGATTTTGTATGTTGGCCAAGATTTTACGGTGATACATGGTATAGGCAATATTCAAGTGAGGATTGCCTATCTTTAACTATATCATGTGGGGTTTGTTTTGGACTTTAACTCTGGAATAATTTTAAATGAGAGGATGAGATGGAGGTATCTTCAGTTGCAAAACAAGGTCCTTGGGTCTACCATTGAAAAAAATCTGGGGCTGAGGGAGCAGGACAAGACTAGGTTCTGGGCTGGTACCAGGATGGCCAGGCAGAGAGACACAACCATGCCTTTTGGGCAAACTTTGACAATTTCTAGAGATTAGAGACTAGAGCAGAGAGCCTTCCAGGGATGTACACAAATTTTAAGGCTATTGCCAACAATCATGAGCAAACCCCACAGGATCTTGCTTACATTTCATGTAATTTGGACAGGTTGGAGAACACGTTTGCCTCTATCACTTCCAAGACTTCATTCTGTGAGATCTCTCTGCAAACAAAAAAACAACAAACTGTATTTTAAGTCAGTTCAGCTATACTCCACAGATGGATTTAGGGCTCATCATAGAGCCCCCTGCCTACAATGATTCCTGAGACACACACAACTATTCCTTCCCTCAAGGGAGTCAGCTATAATAATGAGACAAAGCTAACATATGAGATGCTAATACTTATAGAACAAGAGAATAAGCCTAAGGTGATGGCTCAGTTAGTTTATAGGTTATTCAGTCTACAGATGTAGCAACTGAGGCCCAGAAAGGGAAAGAGAATTGATTAAAGATATTTACAGAAATACAGGATGAAGATAAACTTTAAGTTCCTTAGATCCTGCAGAGGTCAGCAAACTTTTTCTGCAGGGCTAGATGGTAGTATCTTTTGGCTTTGTGGGTCATTTGATTTCTGTCACAACTGCTCAATTGATAATGCAATGCAAAAATAGCTGTAGATAACAACTAAGTGTATGAGTATGATTGTCCAATAAAACTTTATCTATAAAAATAGGTGGCAGGGTGGATTTGTGCCATGGGCTGTAGCTCAATGATGTTGCTCTACACCATGGAGTCAAGTTCTTCTCTCTGCTAATCTAGCTTTGGGAGATGAGAACCTCAATTCAGTCTCTTTTAAAAGGAGCATGACTTTAAATACCTTCTCCCTCCGTACCATTACCTATGTAGGGGTTGTTACTGCAGGGCCCTTGGTCTTAATGTCTTGACCTAAAATACCCAGAAAAGATCTTTCAGGTCTCAGTTTTTTTTTTTTTCTTGCTGGAGTAATTTGAGGACAGTGGAGAGTGAAGTCCACTATGCCAAAGCCCAGAGCTTGAGAAGATAGAGGGTGGCTTAATCACTTAATGTTTATAAAGTGGCTCACAGATGAAACGTGCTATTATTAGGCCTCCAGAGGAAGGCTCATGCAGTTTTAATGTGGCAGCTGAGAGTGTCTCAGGAAATCTCATAGGCAGCATGCATTCTAATTGGCTGAGGCAGAAGCACAGTCGGCTGGCCTGGGATTTAGCTGAAGAGCTCTAGAAAGGCTCTTGATCAGGGACAAGCCTGGAGGGCAGAGCATGGAGGAAGTTTTAAAGGGGAGATGTGATTATGAGCAGCAGCCATCTCAGTGAGGGGGGGCTGGTGACATCTGGAGCTTGTCAACTCAGTGGTAGTGGGTCACTTCTCACAGGCCCCTAGGAGTGAGAGAAAAGAGCCTTCTTATTCTATGATAGCATTTTTTTGTGATTTACCTCGTAAACTTATATATTCACAGTTTTTATAGTTGAACCATAGGTAAGGGTGGGGTGTGTGTGTATGTGAGATAGAACACGTTGGCCATTTATTTTTCTCCTCTGTCCTATAAGTGGAAAGAATACTGGGAGCTACAGGAATGGGGAAGAGTAGGAAAGGGGTGTTAGACCTAGAAAAAGAAGATGTTAATTTGAACACTTAAAGGAATCGAATGAAAAGGTTGTATAGGGGAAGGGTAAGTCACGGAAGAAGAACTACATGATAGACAGGGCTTAAATCCAAATGGGGCCATATCTTCCAAAAACGATTTCTAGGTGCACTTGCTGCGACCAGTAGGTTTGGTTCAGTACTTATCTCAGCCTAATATTACCTAAAAGGTAGGTATTTCTCCTTTCCTGAATTCATGTGCTGAGAGTTTCCTATCTGGATTCCCTCCTTCCCTCCCTCTCTTCTTTCATTTTATCAAGCAGAACTACAAATTATTAGAATGAACAAACCAAAGAACACTTCTAAATTATTTCAGAAGGTAGTTCATATTTTATAGTATCAACTTAAAATATAGGACAGGGTAGGGGGTTGTGTAGGGGGAGGGGAGCCTTTGGCTGGATAAGGTTTGAGGGAAAGTGAACAGCAGTGGAAAAGCACATCACCGAGAAGCTCAGAGATCTTGTTTCAGTCCGACCTAGTGCCATCTCTACTTATTTCTATTATCATTTATTACATATCTATATTTACCAACTACTCCATATACAGTGTCTCTAATCCTTTTGACATGCCTGCATTTTGATCTCCATGTTAATAAAGAGCTACCTCTGACTGATTGCAGGGCTGGAACACTTTCTTTTACACATCCTGCCTCCCAGGCCACCTTGGGCCCAGTGTTTCCACTCCTGTGTATTTACTCAAGATAAATAAAAATGCATGCCTTCCCAAAGACTTGTAGACAAATGTTCATTGCAGCTTTATTTGTAATAATCCAAAGCTGAGGACAACCCAATGGATAAACTATAGAATATCCATATGATGAAATACTCATCAATAAAATGGAATAAACTGTGGATACAACATGGTTGAATTTTTAAAAAATTATGTCAAGTAAAAGAATGCATACTGTATAATTCCACTTATATGAGGTACTAAAACAGGAAAAACTAATTTATGGTGACAGATCAGAGTAATTGTCACCTGGGGCCTGGGATGGATGTTGCTGACAGAGAGAGGTAAGGGGAAACTTTCTGGGGTGATGAAAATGTTCTGTATCAAGCCTAGTACCATGAGTATACATGCTTGTCTAACTTGTTAAACTTAAAATGAGTGCATTCAGGGGCACCTGGGTGGCTCAGTCAGTTAAATATCTGACTTCTGCTCAGGTCATGAACTTGGGGTCCTGGGATTGAGCTCCTTGTCAAGTTCTGTGTTCAGTGGGAGAATCTGCTTGTCCTTCTCCCTCTGTCCCTCCCCTTACAGTGCTCTTTATCAAATAAAATCTTTTTTAAAATGGGTACATTTATTGTGTATAGAACATAAGTTATTTGAAAGGTGACTTTTATGCAAGGGAAGGAGAAGAAACTCCTTTTTGTTTGTGTTTTGAGAACTCTGAATTAAGAGAATTAAAAGAAGAATCTCGATCATATTGTTTGGCTGGAGAGTGGTGTTCAAATCCTAGTTCTATCCTGGTGATTTTGAATAAGCATCCTTCCCCTCTTGTTCATTGCTGCCCCTCATCTGCAAAGTGAATAGTTGGACTGAGGCATAGTTTCTCAACTCTGACTGTGTGTTAGAATCTTCTGGTGGACCTTAAAAAAATTTCCAAAGCCTGGGTCCACACCAATGAGTTGGATTTTAGTCTGGAGTGGGACTCTGGTATTATTATTTTTTCTCCCTTTAATTCTCCAAGCAATGGTGATTCTCATATGCGGGAAAGATTGAGAACTGCTGGGTTAGATGATCATTAAGGTCCCTTTTAGATCTATGGATTTTATCTTAAAGTTCGCTTCAGGAACAAGAAGGGCCAATTTTCCCTTGGTTATTGAGACAATAAATTTGACAAATAAGGTTCTTGGAACACAAGATAATGAGAGATAATGAGGCAAAATAGTAGCAAGATAAACCAGAGATATAACCTGGAATCAGGAGTAAAACAGAGGAGGCACTAGTTAGGTTTAGTTTTTCATAAGTAAAAAAATTTAAACAAAAAGTCACAACATTTCAGATGTTAAATGTGTAGCAAGAGCTACTATGGAAAGTATATAAGAATGTTTGTTTAATACTGATAATTGATAGTATTTTTTATTATGCATAGCTTCTCTTAATTTTTAGTGTACTATTTTTAATTAGTGCAGTCAGTCCAATCTCCAGTGAGGTTTAACAGAGGTTACCTGAGTTGACTAAGATAATACACAATTATGAGGATCATTAAATTGGTCTTTGAAGGGAGGATGTGGAATTTTTACATCCAAAAACCTTATATAATTAAGAAACCATTCTTTGTCTCAATAGCTTCAGTTAAGAATTTTCTATGCAATTGTGACAAATCATTGCAATTGGCACAATTCCAGCGGTTGATGGCATTTTTGTAGGCAACAGGTAAAGGGTTTGTGAGGAGAGGAGAGCTCTAGGGATGTGATAGATTAGCTGTCTCAAAGTGTGGTCTTGTGGTCTATATGGCCAAAAGTATTTTCGTAATAATTCTAAAATATTTTTTCACTCTCCTCTATGAGGATACAGTGGAGTACAAGGATTACTCGATTATTATTATGTAATATGGCAACAGCTATAATGCAGAAGCAGATATGAGATTCCATCTGTCTTCTAGTAAGCCAGATATTGAACATTTTTGCAAATAGGTAAGTCCATGGTACTGTACACACTATTTTTTGGGGAAAAGATGGTTATTTTGCACAACAATTATTTGTGTTAACATGTAGGGATTTATTCTTTTAAAAATGGACTGACAAAATGTTTCCCACTTTTTAACTTCTAGTATGGTAAATGTTGGTTGCTATAACCCACATAAACAAAATCTCTTTGGTGTCTTTAATAACTGGTAAGAGTGTAAAGAGATCTTAAAAACAGAAAGTTTGGGAACTGTTCAATGTAGACATTGAATGCAGCCTTTCTTAGGTGAAGAGATCTTGACTCTCTGGAAAGCTTATTTCTAGAGATGAGGCTTTACTACTTTTCTAGGATAGTGCTTCTCAATTGTTCATGCACAGATGAAATCACCTGGGAATCTTGTTCAAATGCTTCTCCATGGGAAGATCTTGAGTGAGGCTGGAGGTTCTGCATTTCTAATATCTCAGGTGATGGGGATGGTATTGGTTTTGAGTACAAGGCTCTTTAGAAGTGTGGTAGTAACACCCCACCAGACTTTTCTCTACATCACACACATGGTTACATGTGAGAAGCATGATGGAGGAATTCGATTAAACCAAGGAGAGTGAGGCACTTGATTTTTAAAACCCTGTATCCCCAGTGGAAAGTCTCCCCTTTCTCTCTCGTTGAAATTTTCCTAACTTTTAATTCTCACAAGACTCCTTTGATTTGCTTAGTTAAAAGAATTACATTGTTTTGTCATTGCTCATTTTTTTTTTTTGGCAGGGCTGTGTGGTCATTGTCTAATTCCCCAACTTGACTTTGAATTTCTGATGGTATCTTATTCATCTATCTTTGTATCTTTAGCATCTAGTGGTAAGTTGGCATATAATAGGTACTTAATAAATATTTAGTGTATAAATGGAGGAAAAGT